CTGTTTAGTATTTTATTTTTCAGCAAATTGACTCATTTTAGCATTTCTTTTTTTTATATTGCAGTTTCACTGTGTTGCTAAGTCTGATCTTGAACTCCTGGTCTCAAGTGATCTCACTGCTGTGGTCACCTAAAGCTGTAGAATTACAGGCATGAGCTACTGTGCCTGTCCACCATGTAGCATGTTTTGTAGAACTATGGTAGTAATAATGAACACGCTCACCTTTTATTTTGGAAAGTATTTTTTCATATCCTCTTTTTGAAGTAAAGTAATTTAGAATCAATAATTAGTGCTAAGAATTTTTTTTTATTGCATCAAAATTTGGGAAGTTGTTTGACATTTTTATCTCCAAGTAACCTCTATATTACTTTTTCCGTATAGTCTTCTAAGATTCCTTTTGTGAATATATTGATCTACTTGATGGTGTCCAATCAGTTTTACATTCCATTTATAATTTTGTTTGACAGTTGCATTTTTGTATTGTATATTTTAGGGTACACCACCTCACACCAGTTAATTGTGGTTTGATTAGTTTATAATTGTGTATGACAGTATTTAACTCTTTATAATTGAAGACAGTATGGAGGAAAAATCAAATACATATCAGCCATATGTCTATTGTCAATATAATTACCTCTTTTTTTGTCTGGATAAATATTATCCCTGTACTTTTTTATGACTACTATATTTGTTGTGTAGGTTTATTGTGGATGATTATTTAACCCTAAGTGAGTAGTCATAAAACTTTTTCTAATTTCAACACCCATCTGTGAATCTATATTATTTTTGTGTGGGAGCAAATCTTTTTTATTATTTATTTATTTATTTATTTTGAGATGAACTCTTGCTCTGTCACCAGGTTGAATCACCAGGTTCAGTGGTACAATCTTGGTTCATGGTAACCTCTGCCTCCTTGGTTCAAGCGATTCCACTGCCTCAGCCTCCAGAGTAGCTGGAACTACAAGCGTGCACCACCACACCCAGCTAATTCTTTGTATTTTAGTAGAGATGGGGTTTCACCATGTTGGGCAGGATGGTCTTGATCTCCTGACCTCGTCATCCGCCACCTCGGCCTCCCAATGTGCTGGGATTATAGATGTGAGCCGCTGCTCCCAACCGGGAGAAAATGTTAGATTTGAAGATAATTTTAAAACTGTCACATATCTGAATGTATTCTAGATATTGTTCATTTTTACTTGTCAGAAACACATAACAAAATTTATAATACAGTATTATTAAATATTCATTTTGGTCATGTTAATTACATTGACATTATTATGCTACATATTGCTAGAATGTTTTTATCTCGCAAAGCCAAATCTCAATATACATTACACAACATGAATTTTTCTAATTTCTTGGCGCTTTTCAAACACCACTCTGTTTTCTGTTTCTGAGAGTGTGGCTACTTTATGTATTTTATACAATCTCTGTCTCTTTGAGGCTGGCTCATTTCTTTTGCATAATGTCATTAACATTTATCTTTATAGTTACAATATTTTCTGGTTTTGGAAAACTGAGTGAAATTCCAGTATTTTCAAATTATACCTACTGAATGATTTTGGTGACAGAAATTTGCATTACTTCAAGAATGCCATGTGAAATTCCAAAAGCATTGCATCAAATTTGTCGACTACATTGAGCGGTATGGACATCTTCATAATATTAATTATTTCAGCCTTTCAACAACAGCATGTTAAAGAGTTTGTTGTTTAATTTGTATATATTTGTGAAATTTTCAGTTTTTTTATGGTTTTATACTCATTGTATTTTGATGATAGTACTTTTTTTAAATTCAGTTTTAAAAATTTTGTCAGGACTCTTTTTTGACCTAAGAAGTGGTCTATCAAGGACAGTGTTGTATGAGATATTGAGATGAGTGTATCCTGATACTGTTGAGCAGTGTTCTCTATACCTCTGTTAGGAATAATTGTTTTATACTGCCTTCAAGTCCTCTGTTTCTTTACTAATGTGTCTTGTTTCATTTTTATTATAGATATGGGATATTGAAGTATTCTAATATATGCTCTGTGATTCTTTAGTTTTGTCAATATTTGCTTTATATACTTCGAACCTTAATGTGAGATGTACACACACACAAATGTACATAAAAATTTGTCATCGGTTCCCAGTGAATGAATCTATTATTACTTAGTATCTTTCTTTGTAGCCTCGGAGTTTGGAGTTCAAGTGAATTTTATAAAATATGAGAGTTTTTGACTTAAGATATAGCTTGTGTATTATTTTGAGCTGTTCTACCATTTTGTTAATATTTTTATGGACATCTACTTCTATTTGGTGCTCTCAGGTTTTTTTTTTTGTCATTAAATCTGAAATGACTTGTAGAAAGGCAAGTTGGGTCTTCGTTTTTAAAATATGTTGTATAAATCTCTATTGAAAGTATGTCTCTTGATTGAAAAGTTATATATGTGTGTGTGTGTGTATATATGTATAATTAAATAGACTAATGCTATTTTACTCTTTTATTTGATTCTTGTATCTTTGTTTCTCATTTCCTGTCTTTCTGGTCTTTGTGTCTTTTTAATTTCTGTATTAATATGCTTTTACTTTCTTATTCTCTTTTGTGTATCTATACAGATATTTTCTTTGTGGTACCTTGTGGTTTACATAAAACCTCTGAAAGATACAACAATATACTTTAATCTGGTAAAAAATTAACTTCAGTTGCAAAGAAATATTCCTCATTACATTTGCTCTCACTTGTTATTTATGTTGCTAATTATATCTCTTTATGTTGTACATTCATTAACAGATGTTTATAAAAATTTCTATGCTTTTGTCTTTAAATTTTTAAACAATAATTTAAAATGTTTTTTGCACCTTTATGATAATGTTATGGAATTCTATTTTTGTGGATGTGCATATCTTTCCCAGAATGATGTGTTCTCGTATAATTAGGTACTGTTTTCTTGCATCATGTTATTTTCAGTGAAAGGAACTCTTTTTATCATCTTTGATATGTAGGTCACATGCAGTGCCAATATACTTTCTCAGAATTTGGTTATTTTGGAATGTTTTTTTCTTTTTATTTGGTAGAACAGTTTTGTTGTTGGTATAATTCTCCCTTGACATATTTTTTTCAGGACTTAGACTATAGCACATAGTTCCCTTCTGGCCTGCAAATTTTTTATTGGCAAATTCACTGTTTATCTCATAAGACTATGCTTGTAAATGACACATCACTTTTCTCTTGTAGCCCCCAAGATTTTCTTTTTGTCTGTGACTTTTGAAATTGTGTTCATATATATGTTTGTTATAAATATCTTTATGCATATCCTAGTTTGTTGAGCTTCTACATTTTTACATTGCTTTTTTCTTCCAGGATTTTTTTTTTTTTTTTGACCAAATCTTGCTCTGTCATCCAGGCTGGAGTGCAGTGGCATGATCTCGGCTCACTGCAACCTGTGCTTCCTGGGTTCAAGCAATTCTCCTGTCTCAGCCTCCTGTGTAGCTGGAATTACAGGCGCACACCACCATGTCTAGCTAATTTTTATACTTTTAGTTGAGATGGGGTTTCACTATGTTGGTCAGGCTGGTCTCGAACTCCTGACCTCATGATCTGCCTGCCTCAGCCTCCCAAAGTGCTGAGATTACAGGCGTGAGCCACTGCACCTGGCCTCTTCTAGAATTTTTAGTTATTATTTCTTTTTGTACTTTTTACCTCTACAATTTTTTGATGTTTTAATGTTTTTGTTGTTCCATTTTTTATAGTTGTCTGTTTTCCTATTTCACTCACTATTATTTAATTTGAAATTAATTTATGCATCTTCATTTTTTATGGTTGCTTTCTGAACATTTTATAATTTTTTTATGGGGCTATGTTGTAATATTTTGTATGCATTGTATTCTTTGAGATTTGGACATTTTAAAAGAGCTATCTGTCACAGTCTTTATGATGTAGCATATTTTCTGGCATAGCCTGAAACCAATTGTTTTAGCTAGAGATTCTGGGAATCTCTCAAACATGTTCTTAGAATGTGTCTTGTCTGAAATTTTGTGTTCATTTTTTAGTTAAAGACATTTATTAGTGTTTCTTCTTAATGGCCAGTCGTCATTTTCTACATGTATTTTCTCTCTGTAGTACTGCAGTCTGTCTACTGCTGTAGCATTTACCTTTGGTCTTAGCAGACTCAAACTGTCATTCTAAAGAATACCACTGTAGTTGTCTGTTCTCATGCTGCTAATAAAGACATACCGAAGACTGGGTAATTTAAAAAGAAAAAAGCTTTAGTGGACTCACTGTTCCATGTAAGTGGGGAGGCCTATCGTGGCAGAAAATAAAGGAAAATCAAAGTGACATCTTGCATGGTAGCAGACAGAGAAAGGGCATGTGCAGAGGAACTCTCCTTTATAAAAACTATCAGATTTTGTGAGACTTGTTAACTATCACAAGAACTGCATAGGAAATACCTGGCCCCATAATTCAATTACCTCCCACCAGGTTTCTCCCACAACTCAAGAGAATTATGGGAGCTGCAATTCAAAATGAGGTTTAAATGGGGACGCAGAACCAAACCATATTAGCCACCACTTCCTTTAGTACTTAATGCCATGGGAGACAAACCAGTGTGTGAAAAGCCAGAAATAGACATGTATGTATCACTATTATTATAGTTTTTTTTTTTTTTTTTTGAAAAAAAACAGGTGTTGGCAATTTACTTCTAAAGGCACTATATTATGTTTGGGGAGCAGGAAGAGCTTTGTTGGATAAATGTTACAGGCTTTTCCTTCTATGTGACTCTGCATTGTGCTCACCTAGGATACTGCACACAAGTAACTTATTTATAAATCTTTCACAAATTTATTTTGTTCAGTGTGTTTTTGTTGAATTTACATGTGTATGAAGGAATTTAGAGTCTGTGGTCCTTTTCTATGCCATCTTGCTTATGTAGTTTGTATAATTTTATAGTTTAGATATATAGAGTATACAAATCTTAGTGTAGCAAGTGGAGTAATTTGTTATTTTTATTTTTTTTCAGTTATGTGTTCTTATTTTGCCCAAGACCTTTGGCCAGAGCAGAACGTAAAAAATTCATTTCAAAAAGTGATACTGAGAAGATATGGAAAATGTGGAGATGAGAATTTACCACTAAGAAAAGACTGTAAAAGTATGGATGATTGTAAAGTGCACGAAAGAGTTTATGAGAAACTTAGCAAATGTTTGACAGCTACCCAGAGCAAAACATTTCTATGTTATAAATCTGTAAAAGTTGTTTATAAATTTTCAAATTCAAATAGATGTAAGACAAGACATCCTAAAAAGAAACCTTTTAAATGTAGCAAATGTGACAAATCATTTTGCATGCTTTTACATCTAATTCAACATAAAATAATTCATACTAGAGTGAATTCCTACAAATGTGAAGAATGTGGCAAAGCCTTTAACCGGTCCTCATACCTTACTACACATAAGATAATTCATACTGGAGAGAAACCATACAAATGTGAAGAATGTGGCAAGGCTTTTAACCACCCATCAACCTTTAGTAAACATAAGAGAATTCATAGTGGAGATAAACCCTACCAATGTGAAGAATGTGGAAAAGCTTTTAAGCAGTTATCAAACCTTAATAACCATAAGAGAATTCATACTGGAGAGAAACCCTACAAATGTGAAGAATGTGGAAAAGCTTTTAATCACTCCTCAAGCCTTAGGAAACATAAGATAATCCATAGTGGAGAAAAAGCCTACAAATGTGAAGAATGTGGCAAAGCTTTTAATCGCTTCTCAATCCTTAGGAAACATAAGATAATCCACAGTGGAGAAAAACCCTACAAATGTGAAGAATGTGGCAAGGCTTTTAACCACCCATCAACGTGTCGTAAACACAAGAGAATTCATAGTGAAGATAAACCCTACAAATGTGAAGAATGTGGAAAAGCTTTTAAGCAGTTATCAAACCTTAATAACCATAAGAGAATTCATACTGGAGAGAAACCCTTCAAATGTGAAGAATGTGGCAAAGCTTTTAACCAGCTATCAACCCTTACTAAACATAAGAGAATTCATACTGGAGAGAAACCCTACAAATGTGAAGAATGTGGGAAAGCTTTTAAGCAGTCATCAACCCTTACCAAACATAAGAGAATTCATAGTGGAGAGAAACCCTTCAAATGTGAAGAATGTGGCAAAGGCCTTTGTGACTCCTCATCCCTTACTATATATAAGAGAATTCATAGTGGAGGAAAATCCTACAAATGTGAAGAATGTGGCAAAGGCTTTTGCAACTCCTCATCCCTTACTACACATGAGGGAATTCATAGTGGGGAAAAACCCTACAAATGTGAAGAATGTGGCAAAACTTTTAACCACCCATCAACTCTTAGTAAACATAAGAGAATTCATAGTGGAGATAAACCTTACAAATATGGAAAAGCTTTTAAGCAGTTGTCAAACCTTAATAATCATAAGGGAATTCATACTGGAGAGAAACCCTTCAAATGTGAAGAACGTGGCAAAGCTTTTAACCAGCTATTAACCCTCACTAAACATAAGAGAATTCATACTGGAGAGAAACCCTACAAATGTGAAGCATGTGGGAAAGCTTTTAAGCAGTCATCAACCCTTACCAAACATAAGAGGATTCATAGTGGAGAGAAACCCTTCAAACGTGAAGAATGTGACAAAGCTTTTAACCAGTTTTCAAACCTTACCACACATAAGAGAATTCGTAATGGAGCAAAGTCCTTCAAATGTGAAGAATGTTGCAAAGCTTTTAACCAGTTTTATAAACTTACTGTACATAAGAGAATTCATAATGGAGAGAAACCCTACAAATGTGAAGAATGTGGAAAAGCTTTTAATCACTCCTCAATCCTTGGGAAACATAAGATAATCCATAGTGGGGAAAAACCCTACAAATGTGAAGAGTGTGGCAAAGCTTTTAATCGCTCATCAATCCTTAGGAAACATAAGGTAATCCACAGTGGAGAAAAACCCTACAAATGTGAAGAATGTGGCAAGGCTTTTAATCACCCATCAACCCTTAGTAAACATAAGAGAATTCATAGTGGAGATAAACCCTACAAATGTGAAGAATGTGGAAAAGCTTTCAAGCAGTTATCAAACCTTAATAGCCATAAGAGAATTCATACTGGAGAGAAGCCCTTCAAATGTGAAAC